GAACCCATCTGCTCTATTCATAAGCTTTTATAGTGCTCGCACGTATTATTGGATTCTCCTCTGGTCTCACAAATGCAGAGCTTTCCGTTGCGACATTGATATTTTGTATAGCACCCTTGGCCGATTCTTCATCGCTGGTGACTAAAACTTACAGAAAAGACATCGCCTTCACCGTTTAGGAGCATTTGGAAAAAAGTGACGCGTCATTCGGAATATCTGGCTTGAGTTTATGAGGCTTCTGGTTTTTGAATTTCTTGTTGTGGTATGAGTCTTTGTCCAAGTCTTGCCCTACTCCGTTCGACCGTGTCAAAATCGTTAAATTTGAAACGTCGAAGTCTGTACTTCAGAGATTATATCCGCCGCAGGCATCAAACTTTTTGAGAAGAATCCTCCTCCTCCCAAGTTATAAAGTAATCGACTACAAAATGCCCTTTACATTGTAGGAAACTGATACAAGGACAGTGGTCTGAATGTTAACCCAGCAAAAACCAAAAAAGTTCTTTTCACCAGGAGATACATATCACTATCTCTTAAGCTACTCCTACTAAATAAAAGTCTAATACCTCGGGTTAATCTTAAATAGGAGCCCAAAAGCGATAGAAAGTGATCGATTTATAATATATCACGGTGGTTAGACTCATCCTACACTACGAAAAAATTACTTTCGAAATCAAATTAGAGATGGTTCAGCGATCTCCAGTCGTTGATCTTAAAAGCCGTAGAGTTTTTATTTCCTCTAAACCTGTACAGCATACTTTAAGCGAGCAATGTCCAAGCATTATATCAGACGCCCAGATGAGTTAGACTATATCCACTCCAACTTTTTCTTTCTTTTCCACAGGTATACTCGTATCAGATAGGAATGAAAGGAAAAGCATAAATGTCTTGGATTAGAGGGACAAAACCATGAAGTTGTGATTTTGAAGTTATTTGTTATTGCTATTGTAGTAGAAGACCCTTGGGTTAGAGGTACAAAAACCACACACGCTGTTAAGTACGCATGTGTTGTTGTTGTTGTTGCAGCCGCAAAAATATTCCTCAAAGTAAAAATCCGGGTCGTTCCGGTATAAGGACCCGACTATCGCGGGAACTATTGGATTATAGTCGCCTCTCACGACAGTCATGCCTTACCGCGGTTAAATTCTTGAACTCCTAAAGCGCGCCTGCCGTTGGAGGCGATTAAAATCAAATAGTTTCTGCTACAGTTGAGTCTTTATGCTGCAATGACTAAATTTTTTATGTGGTCGAGGATTATTACACAATTTCCCTTGGTTTACAGGGGCTTTGGGCATATTTGGGCAAAAGCCGATGGGTGCAAGGTCAGCCTACTGTTGAATGGGGTTTCATGAAAAGATAATGGCTCTCTACTCCAATGGGTTTTGTCCCAGTTGTAGGGGCCGAAATCATCACTACCCATCCTTAATAACCACACAACCAAAGTTGCTTTGGAAATACAATACTTTTGTGACAAATTTGAAAATGTAATCGGTATCTCACAGCGGTTTCACAATAGGCTTATTGGCTTAGATGGGAGTATCTCTGACTCACAGCGACAACTCACAGAAACCCTAGAGCTGATCTTGGTGTTTCCAATTTGATCCCAGCTCTCGTTGTCACCATTAAAAGTTTTCGAGAGATCTAAAATAATTTTAGAAAGTTGGTTTATACAGCAATAAAGAAATGTAATTACATATGTATGTGTGTTTGTATGTATTAATTTGTGTTAACAATGGAAAAAGTACATTCGTGCACTGAGAGTGGCAGTCAATAATTAGAGTTTCTTACCCAGAAATTCAACTGAAGACCTCAAGTCAAGGTGCTTTTTGTGTCAAATACATACACAGTTGTATGTATGTACATATGTCTGTACAAATGTGAGCTTATGAGTCATGAAGGTTTAAGTGCAACAATGCTAACACCAACTTCTTTCAACGAACTTTCTCCCCACAGTCTCAGTACAAATGAGGTCTTCCTGTCGTAGATTTAAGATTTCTTGCTGAGTTTTTGTTTAGATGGCTGATGGCTCTTTTTGTCGCGCTGCAAGAAAAATGCATTAATACATACACGTATATGGTCATACATATGGATGAACAAAGCATACATTGTCTATTGCCATGCCATTGTATATATGTATGTGTGTACATTATCTCGTTGTAAAAATCTACAAACCAAACTTTGGCTTCTTCGTGGAAATCGTGTTAAGAGAGTTGGGCGGCAGTGTGCTGCACATGTTTTTTTGTATTTTTTTTCTTTTTGTTTTTGGTCGGCATTTAGTTTCTGGTTCAAGTAATTTTCCCATCTTTGTGCTTTCCTTATGTGCATATGTTGGACTTCGTGTCAGTGCACAAGCGTTTGCCACTTAACCCGCTGCCGTCGATTTTTCCAAGCGTGACACACTCATTTAACCAAAGCACGCTTAAGAAGTAGTCTTTGCAAGCGTACGATAATATCCAGTAGGAAAAGCGTTTCATGTGAGTCTCATGAGTTGGCACAGCTTTAGAGTGTTGAACAGTTCAGGCGTGCAATATTTTTGATCTCCGCATGGAAGTTCGGACGTATTCTGATTTTCTCCTGACATGACAAGGATATTTGAGTCTGTTTCTATTTTCTGACTAACGTTTTGTGACCCTACAGTCCAGGGCACGTAACCAGTTTTCGGTTTCCCCTTTCATAGTGTCTCGAACAACTCTCTCATGCAGATTGGTTTGTAGGCAATCGGGTGTGAAGCCACTAATTATCCACAAGTGCGGTGCGATGAAAATAGACTTGACTTTTAAGGTCAAAGTAGCTTATAGGACGGGGCAAGTAATGAAAGAGTAGATACAGAATTTGATTTTGTAATGTGTGGGTTCACAAACTTAGTCCTTAGCCGCTGATTAATTGGATGAATACTACAGGGTTAGCTAGCAAGTTCTCTTCTGAGATTGTCGCAAACCGGCCATATATATAAAACGACCTCATTTATTCTTTCATTAGGTACTTCTTCACATTATCGTTTCTTCTGATTCCACTGGCGGATGGAACACTTTTTTAGCTGGTGTACGATCATTCATCCGTTCAACATGCCCTACTTGGTCCGCTCGTGCAATTCGACGTATCATTACCTTTCTCTCTCATCAGCTGTTAGCATTTAGCGGAAGGGAAATAATGAGCGATTTGTAGAGTTTGGTCTTTGCTCTTCGAGAGAGGAATTTAATCATTGCAAAGCAGCATCTGATTGTGAGAGTGACTCTGTATTGGCGTTAATAGTGATTCTAAGGCCACGTTGATAAGTTGCCATCGGTGTCGTAATAACATCCAAAAAACTAGAAAATTAATTTAAATAAAAAACTAAGTTAATTTCTCTAATTGCGGTCGCCCGTCGGCAGAGAGTCGTCGTAAGAATGTCAACTCCTCCGAGTTTATTTCTGACTTGAAATAAAGCTCCTCATAAAAAAAACCATCAGACGTTCGGAGGCGGCTTACTATAAACTGTAGGTAACTCAATTTGTTGGAAAAACATGAAGACGCACAACTATAAATCGGAGGAGGAGCTCGGCGGAAAATCGCATCATCGCTCGGTAGGACCTCATCGCATATTCCATAGTTTCATTTTTGTGAGTTGGACGGAGTGCTCTTGTTTTCAAATCGTCATCGATGCAAGGTAGGTATTGCATGCAGTAACCCTCATCCGATAAACCATCGGCTTCCTCTACTTTGTTGTTCTTTAGGCGGGCAATTGCTCTTTGTACTTCCTCATGGTCGGGTAATGGAACATAAATTTCATTCTCATCTCCAGGTGTTGAACTTTCACTACCTTTTGTAGTTAGTAGGTTGAAGAAGTGTTTCCGTCATAAACGAAGCATATGCTTGGCATAAGTCATTACCTTTTTGACTCTTACTTGAATATGCTCGGGTTTTAAAACCCTCTGTAAGGCGCCGAGACCTATTAACAATATAATTATATATATATAATTGGCGCTTTGTAGCCGCTGAAGCGATTTTCGGCCGAACTCCTCCTTCAATTTGTGGTTTCGCGTCTTGATTTTTTTCCAACAAATAGAGCGTCTTACAGTTAATACTAAACCGCCTTCGAATGGCTTATGGCTTTTTATGAGAAGGTTTTGATTTCAGATCAAAAATACATTCGGCGGGGTTGACATTACCTGCCGAGGGGCGACCGCAATTAGAAAAATTAACGTAATTTTTTATTTATAAATTAGCTATAATTATTGGATGTTGGTCGGTCCAAGTTTTGTGTGGTCTGCCCTTCCGAATGGCATCTCTTGGCTTTTGCGACTCGGCTCGGCTCGGTTACAAAACACCAATTATATTAAATTATTTTATTTTATTTATTGGATCGAATTTTTGATACGGTGCGACTCACATCTTTTGAACAACGTTGTTTTTCCTACAGAGCCTATAGTGATACATACGTGAAATGAATATACTCGTAGTTGTGCTAAGAAAACTGGTTTGTCCACAAGTCCTCGTAAGAATGCAGCTTTCATGGCGGTCACAGCTGCACAGTTGCGGACTGAACTCTTTTATGGAAGTTTGGCGCTTTCGTCGTTTCTGACTACTGGTTACTAGAAATTTAAAGGAATTCAAATGCATACATATATACATTTGATCTTATGGAATTTGAACTCAAAAAATATTAGTTTTTATTATGGCAATAATTTAATAATAAAAAATAAAAAATTATGGATTAACGGCCTTGAGGGTATTCTTTAGCAAAGTTACTGCTCTACTATCTATTTTGATTAACCGCCTACAAATTGCTTGATTTACATACACACATACAATACGTATGTATGTATTTATAACACCCACAAATGCCAAAAACTACTAGATTTAATTTTATAAGCTTACCTTTGCTTAAAGGCAAACGAACTCAGTGGTTTTGCCTTTTCTGGGGTGATTGCCTTTGCTTACTTGATTTGAAACAAAAAAAATCATACTTTTATAACAAGTTTTAATTAAATAGTTTTTCCCTTTGTTTGGTTTTCTATTTGTAGGGGAAGTGATCTCAGCGATGTCTCCATAATTAAAAGAATGCGTGGTGTGGAAGTTTTGGCGTTAAGGTAAGTAAAAAAATGATTTTACGAAAGAATCAATGAAATAAAATCATGTTTATATTTTTGACTATTTTGCGGATTCGAAAAATACACAAATAAAATGCATTTAAAACAATTTTTTTCATTAAATTCTATTTTCATTATCATTCATTCAAATGATCGCCTCGAAATCCGTTTGAGGTAATTTTCGACCACCTTTTGGCATATATTAGACGGTACCTTAGGCATTAATAAATTGCTTCCCAAGCGCTGAAGAGTCAAGTGTTAATCTGTATAAACACGGTGTTACGCGTAGCCCTGCAAAAAAGGTCAACCTTGTCGAAACACATGATCTCGGTGGCCAATAGGCATCCCCAAAACAAGAGATTACGCGGCCCGCATAATTTCTGTCGTAATAAAGTCATATTCGCTCGTTTTGTACGGCATGTGGCAGCTTCTTCATGAAACCACATATTCTTCAAGGCCAAAAAAAGTTTGTTTGTCATACGACCATAACGCTCCCCATTGACAATGACAGTCTCGCAGATGTCGTTTTCGAAGAAGTAGGGGCCAATCACACCTGTGAACCATTCAGCATGTTTTTTTTTTTTGGTGTATGGAGTCTTTTCAAATATTTAATAGGCTCTCTTTTCGTCTTATCGGAGACTCAAAAGCGAAAATTTTATTTATTTACATATCCCCCAAGCGAGAAATGTGTTTCGTCATTGTAGAAAATGTAGATATGTACGGCGTTGTGAATGATGAGTTGGCTTCAGTTGTTGTGTAGGTTGGAGTTTATATATATTAATTCAAGTAAAAGCTTCACTAGGACCTTCCATCCGAGCTCCTGGAGCTTCTGGCGCGTCATCAAAGACGTGAGTGGCCTGACGTTGACCTGATGGAACACAATTCGGCCTCTGTTGATTACAGATAGCCTCTTCGTAATGAGTGCTGCCTTCAAGCGGTCCATTTTTTGGCAGTAGAGAGCCGAATTGAGCATTTCGCCATAGGGGAGCAGCTCGTAGTAGATGATTTCTTGCCAATCCCACCAAACACACAGCAAAACCTTCCTGGCCTTCAATCCTGTCTTGGCCACCGTCTGGGCCGCTTCCGCGAGCTTTGAGCACGACCGTTTGCGCTCGATCTTGTCGTAAGTGACCCATTTTTCATCGCCAGTCACAATCCGCTTCAGAAACGGGTTGATTTTGTTGCGATTCAGCAGCGATTCGCAGATGGAAATTCGGTCCAACATTTTTTTTGCGTTAGTTCGTATGGCACCCAAACATCGAGCTTCTTTTTGAATCCAAGGTTATGCAAATGGTTCCAAACGGTTTTCTGGCTTATCTCTAGTTCCTCAGCAATTAAATTAGTGCTCACATGTCGGTCTTCTACCACTATTTTCATGATTTTATCGCAATTTTCGACGATAGGCCTCCCGGCACGTGGTGCATCTTTGATATCGCAATTACCGGAACGGAACCTAGCAAACCACTCAATCGAAAAACTGCCGAAGGCAAACTTTTAGCGTGACCGAACTTTTTACTAATATTTAGATGTAAGTCCAAGCCCGAAATATGCTATATTATGCTGAAAGAAAGTCTCAGCTCTTGAGAACGTCGAGAAATAGACGAATTCGGGTCTTCGGCTAGACTTTCACTCAGAGTACCGATATTTGATGAACGATGATGTACAGGCCTTACAAAATCCAGTCAAAATCTGTAGACAATCCAGGCTCTTCAAATTTCTTTAAACATTTACCGATTGCTTGAGTAGTTGGACAATTGTGTGCACCATAGAGGCAGGACGAAACTTGACCATGTTGGAATCATCATTTTTGTAGTCGGTTTTAAGAATTTTAACGAGTTGGGCGTTTATTAGGCGAACAATTTTGTGTGTCAGCCAATAATAATTTCGTATTCAGCAGAAAGGGGAACTTATTAAATTTTTTCAAAAGAAATGTAAAACAAAAAATGAAAACAAGTTAACCACACAAAATTCATCACAAATATTTTGCCAGTAAAAGTTGACAGGCTACATAATTATTCATCATTATAAGAATATTTTTGAACGGTAATAATTTTGTATATTTAACTGGAGGTATGATGTCATCACACTTAAGTAAAATAAGCTCGGTTTTTAAGTTTGTGACAAATTACCAAAAAAATTGGCGCATAGATGGCATGCCAGAATGATGGCATGTCGCAATTTTAAATTTAAACAAGTAAATCCTTTAAATTTATTCTCGACAGCTGTTTTTCTTGGACGTGTTTTGGTTCGTCTCTTATTTGGTTGCTTATTCCAAGAAATACTCCAGGAAATGGAATCGATTAAAATATGCTTTAGCCGGTTATACCCGCTAACGAATCACGGGTTTGTGGTTAAGTCGTGAAAACCTGGTATTAAACCATGCCATTGGAAGCTGATCCCCAGCCATATAACAACACTTTTGCAACACGATTTACCTTTTGCTTCACAATGAACCTTAATTTCAGCAATTAACACTTTATTCGAGTGGAATTTCTTACCCGTGAACATATTTTGAGGTCCTGCGAACGCTCAGTAGTCGCTGAGACTCAAATACGTTGAACTCGTTGATGAAAAGTTTGAAGATTAAGTCATGCCATTGCCATTTAGGCCATTGTTTTCATTGACTGACTGGCAAACTAAATTGTTTTCTTTGCCGTATACAGCCCTTTCTTTTCAATTCAAACGTCTTCAGTAACGCTATTTGTTCTTGTTGTTGTTGTAACCGCAAAAATATTCATCAAGGTAATTTTTGCGGTAAGTGACAGTCTTTGGCCAGGTCTTGGTTTGGGTCATTCTGGTATAAAGACTCGACTGACGCGTGAACTATTGGATTTTAGGTGCTTCTAATGACAGGCATGCCTTACCGCTGGTAAATTCTTGCACCTTAACCCGCAGATGGGAGCTTCACACTTGTACTTGCCCGCACTGTCATATTGGCTGATGGTATCTCTCTTCTCACGCAAACCTTCGTCAATCGTGATCATGACCTTTTCAGTTGATTGTTGCGCTTTCCTTCCCTTTGGACGTGGTTACCGGTTGCTATCACTCAGATCGTCAGAACGTCTGCTACCGGAGCTACGTAATGGATCCATTATTACATATCGATACAAAAATTCCAGCTTAGCAGGTTTATGCATCTACAAACACTGCCCAGAAACCTTGATACGTTCTTGCTTTTGACCAAAAGTGGTTGGTTGGTGTTTTCTGGTGTTGACGCCTCATTTAGATGTCCACTAGGTGTCGCAGCTTTGTATTCGCCTTTCATCCATTATCACTTAATTACTTACTTTACTGGCGTAGACACCACTTACGCGATTATAGCCGATTTACAACAATGCGGCTTTCGTTTCTTCTTCTTTTTGCTGTTTGGCACCAGTTGGAAATACCAAGCATAGCCAGGCACCTCTCTACCTGATCTTTCCCACGGAGTGGTGGTCTTCCTCTTCCTCTGCTTCCGGCGGCGGGTACTGCATGGAAAACTTTCAAAGCCGGAGTATTCGCATTCATACGGATCACATGACTTAGCCAGCGTAGCCGCTGCTTCTTGATTCGCTGGACTATATCAATGCCGCCGTATAACTTGTACAGCTCATCGTTCCATCGTCTGCGATATTCGCCGTTGCCAATGCGCAAGTCTTACGCAAAACCTTTCTCTCGAAAACACCTAACGCCGACTCATAGCAGGACGGAAGCGACGAGGAACTTGTGGAGTTCGTTCGTTTCGTTCGCCTAGAAAGTACTTTACTTTTTCTAGCAGCTTTTAGCAAGAGTGATTCTGCGCTGGATTTCAAGGCTGACGTTATTATTGGTGTTAATGTTGGTTCCTAGATAGACGAAATTATCTACGACGTCAAGGACATAACTGTCAACAGAGGCGTGGGAGCCAAGTCGCAAATGCGATGACTGTTTGTTTGATGATAGGAGATATTTCGTCTTGTCCTCATTCACTACCAGACCCATTCGCTTTGCTTCTTTATCAAGTCTGGAGAAGCCAGAACTCGGTTGTTGAGGCCAATGATGTCGATATCATCGGCGTACGTCTGTAGTTGTACACTCTTATAGAAGATTGTACCTTCTCTGTTCAGCTCTGCAGCTGTTATTATTCTCTCCAACATCAAATTGAATAAATCACACGACAAAGAGTCACCCTGTCTAAAGCCTCTTTCAGAGCGGCTCGGAGAGGCCCTTCTTAATTCTGATTGCGCTTCTGGTCTGAATGTCTAGCGTCAGCTTACACAGCCTTAAAAGTATTGCGGGGATACCACATTCAGACATAGTGGCGTAAAGGCAGCTTCTTTAAATTGTAGAAAGTAGTTTCAGGATGGTTACACCGTCAAATAGAAGTTTTTTACAACAAAACTCGTTACACGAAATACAAATTGCTTAATATTTTCTGTCTTGATAACTATTTTTATTCGCATATTTTGAGATTGGTTGAAGATTTCAGAACAAATTTCCATTCCATGAAATATGTTTGTATGTATGCAGTTGTCACAAACATTTGAGCACCAAATAAAGGCATCGTTGAGATGTATTTAACGCTTCTTTAGTAGCAATTGTATTGATCATGCTTTCTTTTCAGTCGATGATGGTCGCCACATGACACACATATGTTATGTACATACATACATATATACATATGTGAAAGCATAAAAAAGTGTCTTTGTTAGGTTATGGGCAACACATACATACATCTGTACATATCTTCGATAATTTGAGTGGCAATTATAAATTGCTTATGATATTAATTCTTTTTTGTGCTGATTTCCTGCCTCACATTACCGTAAAAGGACAGTTTTGGTATTCAGCTGCAACAACAAATATGCTGATGGCAAGCTAAAGTGCTAAAAAGTCAAAGAAAGAAAAAATCAATTTTGATTGTCAAGGCCGTCCATACAGAAGTGATGTACGAGTAGATATGAACTTACATATATATGTACATATAAATATGTATATGTGTGTGTATATATAAAGAGCAGCACACGAATATTAAGATTGAA